GAGATCTGCTGCTTTTTATTCTGCATTCAATGCCTTGTAAAATTCAGACAATGGAAAAAATCAGCAGTCTTCTTAGCACTTCCCAATTTCAGAATAGTAAAAGAAAAATTTGCTTAAATTTAAAATAGGTATTGGCAATAAATTGTCTCGTCTTATTGCTGGCACTTGCAACATTTTATTGCACATGCACAGTGGCACAATTCATGGTTAGATGGTTTTTGTAATTCTTATGTGTGTATAAATTTGGGGAAACCCTGTACGGGTAGCCGCCGAGTCTAACAAATCGCACTCAGTGGCCATTCATGCGACTTCCTTTACAGCAGGCACTTCCGGCGGCCTTTGTGCGCCACACAGCAGCGGCAAGTGCAGCTGCAGCACATATACCTATAAACAAGTGTAAGTAAGTGCGAGAACACATGTAAACCACAAAGCACACAAATATCTTCACACACACACACACATATATATATACATACAAAGCAAGTAAGCCGGCCAAGTGAGTTGTAGAATTTTTCCAAGTGCAACCTTGCAACAAAAACTAACTACTTTATGCATTGGCTCGCTTTGGAAGAATCTTCATTCATTTTACAGCCACTTTTTCAACATTATAGCAAAAAAATATTTTATTTTTTTCTTCTTTTTGTGTTTATGTATTGTATTTGTGTGGAACTTTTTCTGGGTGTTGGCGTAGAGCCAGCAGCTTGGCAGTCTTCCTTCGCTTTGGCCACTGACCGCTGGCCATTCAAGCGCCTCACTTTGCCAAGCACTTTGGTTAACGGCGTTAACGGTAGTTCGTACTAGGTTCCTGCTTCTTCTTCGTGTCTTCTTTTTCTCAGCCTTTTCTCATTTATTTTTTGGCTGGCGTTTTCAATTTCTTGCTGTGGCAAGTAGCAAATGGTGAAAGAAAATGAATAAATAAATGTATAAACTGCCATCAACTGATTTATGCAGATACATTAATGTACAATTTTTGAGCATTTAAAGGAAATTCAAGCAAATAAATGGCACTTTTTTGTAGCATAGTCGTCGGTGTTCCATAAATGTGTGTATAACTACAAGTAATCGTGTGTGCATAGAGAGATGGACAAAGTCGTTTTCTGTCTTGTGAGATAGTTGCAGTGAATAGCCTTTTTGCAAACGATTTTTACTTCGACTTCGGCCGAAGCTGTAATACATTTTACAGGTGCATTTCTTATAGCATTAATAAGGGTATAAAAAGATCTCAATATTAATTTTGAGTGGTCAGTTTGTATGGCAGCTATATGCTATAGTAGTCCGATCTGATCAATATTTTCGAACATTATAACATTGCCTGGGACAATAATCTGTGGCAGCCATTAAGATATCTCTTCAGATTAAAAAGTTTTTCATCTAGGGACTTTTTTGGCTTTAGTCGCTCAGTTTGTATGGCAGTATAGTATATATAATGCTCCGGTATTGGCGGTTTCGACAAATAACTTCATTTGTCTTGGAGTGAAAACGACGTGTGCAAAAATGCAGATCGATATCTTAAAAACTGAGGGACTAATTCGCGTGTATACAGACGTATATACATTAGAGGGTCTCCGTCGTGCCTTCCTGGATATCTATCTATATTCTGGACATCTTGACATACTTAATATACTTTGGAAAGCCCCAAGTAGCTATTAATTTCTTACAAATACCCATATAAGTATTAAGTTTTGCGATTAATAAATTAAGTGGTAACCCCATATATCATATACTTACGTGCATTTAATGTTTCCAAAAATCATATTTGACCTAAATGAGAACTGTTTGTAATTTTAATCACACTTTTTAACTTTTTTAATCAATAAATAAATTTGTTTTCATAAATTAAAAAATGTGTGGCAACTCTGTGCAAATTCATGTAAAATAAAAGTATAAATAATAACAACTTAATATTCTGATAGATTTTTATTTTAAATTGTTATAACGTTCTTATTGTTAGTTGGGTGGCAGCTCTTTAAATGTTTTTTTTTTTTTATAAATCTTTTTAAAATACCTAGCCTTGTATGTGTGCTTATTTTAAATTTAACATTGAACTTTTATGCTACAAGTATTTATAATTTTCATTTGGCAACTCTTTCAAGCTCTATCCTGTTTTGGCTAAAAATACATAACATCAGCCAACAAAGGCTGTTATTTGATGTATGCTCGAATAATCATATATTTATTATTATGTATTTTAATTATAAGTTAGAACAACTTTTAAATTCAGTTTTTTAATTAACTTTCAAATATTCAAATATCTCAAAATAAATACCAAATTATAGCAAATCTCTTTGTATGTCAATTATTATGTATAATATCTATTTATCTAACTGGTTATATAGTTTTTTTACTAAGTGAAGATTTAGATTGTTTGCTTTAACTTTATTGCAAGTTTTCAGTGAATTAATGAAATTCCCAAAGCTTTTAAGCCAACTTTTGCGTACTCAGCCATAAGTAAGTAGTACAAAGCACATTGACAATCTGCTTAAATGCACAACTTAAATGCTTCTCTTGATGTTTTTAGCGAAAAAGAAACATTTTATGTAAATAGAAATACGCAAATATATTTAATTAAAAGTGCTTTCACTTAGATTTATTATGAGTGAAATCAACAACTGGAATGGGAAAAAAAAAAATCATAAATAAAATTGAGGCAAATAGGAAATACAAATCTGAAAGTTTTGAGTAATGAATTCTAATTGACTGTGACAAATTGTAGTACGAAATTTCAATTAAAAAAAAAATTGACATTTGTATGTTCTGTTTCATAAAAACAATTATATGGGAAATAGTTAAAAATGCTGAAAAATAAAATACAAGACTCAAGAAGTGTGAAGACTTCTTAAATCATTCTTCTGAGTGGCAAATACTTAATCTCTCCTATAGGTCCCTCAGATCGTTTCAGTGTTAGCACACTACTGTGACTTAGGAGACTTATCCTATTGTATATGCACATTTTTTATATAACATATTAATATTATAATATTTTTCAAGTAAAAAATGAAACATTATTTTTGTATCAGTGAATAGATATTGCTGGAAATAAATTATCAACACGATGAAAAGAAAAAACAAACAAGTATCTGATGCAAATCATAATATTTGGATTTTCGCTTTGAGTTATAGAGTTGCAAATTCAATAATTTTTTGAGCAGTATTTCTTGTGCCTAAAAGTATGCAACACAAAATTGTTAATGATTTAATGATCATTAAAACGCACATAATTGAGATCAACATGGAGCTGATAGAATGCTTCTTGAGCTTGCTCTACGTTCAGTGAAACTAAAGTACTTTATTTATTATTTTGGTTTTTATACCCCAAGTAGGGTATATGAAGTTTTCCACGAAGTTTGTAATACTCAGAAGGAAACGTGCGAGACCATATAAAGTATATATGAATATACAGCATTACCAGCAGAGTCTATTTAGCCAGATCCGTCTGTATAATCACGAATTAGTCCCTCGGTTTTTGATATACATATATTGATCTGAAGTATTGCACGCATTGTTTTTACTATAGCATGTAGCAGCCATTAAGGTTCTTGTATGGAAATCTTATTTATTGCAGAAGATATCGTTACAAAACTTGATATGGACTATTGTACAAAGTAAAACTTTAACTTTTTTTTTGTTGATGCTGATTTTCATGTTTTATTTACTTCTCCACATTTTCAAGTTATTAAGTAAATAGTTAGATTTCTGTTAAAGGACAAAGCCTATTTGTGCTTCGAAGTGATAAATATTCGATATCATTTTACCTTGAAGTAAATTTCTATAAGCGAGGTGAGCTTTGAGTTCTTAACTGTTTGGTAGATTGATATTAAATATTCAATTCAAAATACACGCTGTCCGATGTTATTTCAAAGGTCGTTCAAAGGTCAATAACATATTTGTTACAAATTCCTGGCCCTTTGGTAGCAACTTCCGGTAATTTATAATACTTTGTAGGACCTCATATGCTGTTGGTACCTGTAACAGAATTCAAAAACCATTTTGTTGAAAGCAAACACCTGTTTGGCTACATTTGCTTCAAATTTCGTAATTTAGCATAAACGTTTTGTTGTCGATATTAAGTCAAAAGTAATGGTGCTGGTGGATCACCTGTCCTTGTTTGCTGTGCTTTCAATTCGAATGTAACTCCAGCGCTTCTGGAAAAGTTTTCAAAGCGTGGGTTTAGTGTAGTTTTCTATGCCTAGCGCCATCTAGTGAGATTTAATAATACTGTAGGTAATTTCTGTTTTTTTTTTGATAAGAGCGGTCGGTCGCGACATTAAGGTTCTATGAGGATTCCACTTTTATTAGGAAAAATTGTATGAAATATTTGAATTATCCAATTTTAAAGCTTAAGCTATTCACTGATTATCGTATAGACACCGGCGACCTTTTTCTGTATGTGTAGTATTGGAAATTATTTAGACAACTAGTGGATATTCAATGGACAATGCAGAAAAATATTATAAAATCATATTGTCCGAGAAAAAGTTTTAAAGTGTCAAAAAAATAAATATTCCACTTTATTGTAATTTATCTGCAATTAAATCACTTGTTGTTTGTACTAATGCATGCCATTTAATTCTATCTCTTAATAAACTTGAGCGAATTATAATCTTTATGCGCAATATGCACTGAATCAAATAAATAAATGCGATTAAACAAATGTTTAATTAAATAAACTCGACAAAAAAATACATAAATAAATTGCAAGGCTTGCGTCTGTGGGAGTGTGTAGGTGCGTCTGTGTGTGTGCTGCAGTAAGTGTTGATTGTTAAATCATGCAAAACCGGTGCTTATCCAACGTCAATCAACGCTTGCCGATGACAACAACAAAAATAACATAAACAATATTAATAATGACAACAACAACCACAAAAAAAAACTATAAATTACAAGTATAACAAGAACAAAAAAAAACAATCAAATATAAATGAAAACAATAACAATAACAACGAAATATCAAAAACAACAACTACATATAATATGTATGAACATAACAGTACAATGTCTCTGTAATGCTGTGGCGTTGATATTTAATTTTTTCCCGGCACCTACTCATCAGCGGTGAATTGTGCAATCAAATTGTTTGACAATGACATTGCCCGCCGATAACGTCCTATATCAACAACCCGATAAGTGCTGTTACAAATACATCAACATACCCACTGAACTGTAAAAAAATTCTGTTACATTTTTTTAAATTTTATTTGCTTCTTTATCATAATTTATTTATAACTTTTTGCACTTTCAAAAATTTATTTATTTTTATATTACACGTATACGTCAAAGGTAATGTATTTATTATATTAATTTACACACTTTGTTGTGTATGAGTGTGCGTGTGCCTGTGTGTGTGTGTGTGAGTACTTTGCTGCGTGGTAATTTGTATGCTTCTGCCGCGATTTAATTACTTGCCTTATCATTGCATATTTAATACATGTACACAATGTCATTATATGCATATATTTTTATATAACTGGACTTATACACATACCATACATATATACAAACATTTTTATACAGAGGATTTACATACATATATTAATGCATTTATTTAGTAATTGCATTCGTGAGTTTTTCTGTTTGTCTGTCTATTTTATTACTTATTCGTATTTAATTATTATTTAAAGGTTTTTATATACAGGCTGGGCGATCTTTGCTCTTAGTATGCAAATCGAACAATTTCGAAAAAATTATGCGCTTTTTATAAACAACATATTTATAGTTAAATAGGCGTTATTTAGACGTTTTCTCTGAATGCAACATCAAAGGAGTGACCGACTTTATTGGCCGCAGCAGCTGCTGTAATGCCATTAGTTTTCGAAAATATCGAGCAATATGGTATGGCACCCTTTGTCAATGGTTTGTGGATTACTGGCACATACTATGTTATTATGAAATGAGTTTCGTGCCTCATTAAGATTATTCTCAATGCAAAGCGTCCGGGGTCAAGTGATTTATGCTCAGATTTGAACAAAGTTGTGGTTACCAAATAGCTGTAACCGACTTGGCTGTTTAGAAAATTTTAAATTTATTTTACATATTAACATAAATCACATCCTGCAATTAACATAAGCAGACCCTGTACAGACATGTAAAATACGCGTGTTAACACATGTAATTAGATAGTTGTAAATGTTTATAAGTAACAGTTGCTCTACAATACACATGTTGTTTTTTCTTTTTTATTATTTTAAATAATTTTTCATCATTTAATCGTAACATTACATTTCTTTGGTTTAGTGTTGTTTTTTTTTACAATTTATAGTTAATATTTACAAAACTAATTTTTGACTCGGCAAAACTTATTAGCTTAAGCGAGAATAATTTATAAAATACTACTTTAAATACAAAATCTTATGTATCTGTAGAAAATATAATCGTAACAAAAATTGTTTTCAAAAGAGCACAAGAAATATAATATACCGCTTAAGATAATTTCAGTAGTTTCGGCTATTTTTATAGTTTATGACAAGTGCCATAAAGGTTAGCTTAAATTTGTCTTAGTTGGTGAATTCGTGCTATCCTTCATTCGGTGAGAATTAGATGACCGATTGCTGTTTCTGCCTAACAACTTTTTAAAATGTTAAGAGGGATAATGAAAATACTTCAACATAATCTGATTCATGTCAAGTTTGGTCAAGCCCACACTTTACTTCAAAAGCCAAGGAACATCTTTATATTTATTTCTTCTTCTAAAAATTTTAAAATTACTTAATTTTTTAATTGGAAGCTGTATATAACCGTGTGAGAACTGAATAAATTACAAAAAAAAATTAATTTAAGCTAGGTTTATGGGTTTCCTCTACTTTACTATGTAATTTTATTGAACTCTACAATCTCGTAGCAGTAATATGCTGTCTTTATAATGAATTCGAATGAAAAGCCATAAATTCTTATACGCCAATATATATAATATTTCTTTCCTTCCCTCAAAGAATGATATTGCAAGTTTTCTGACCTTCTTCTCTAGGGTTTTCCAATGCAGAAATACTAGAATCTTTATTTAACTCAGGGAATATCAAATTTCCAAATAAAATTTTTATTGAAATAAATTTTCTTAAATAAACCCTGCAGTAATTGCAGGTGTGAACACCTAAATGACGCCACTTGATATTGGGTAACAATTTAGGGTTACACCGATTGTAAAATTAAAAAGAAATCTATTTTCATTTAATTACGATAGCTTATGCTTTTAGAAATAACATATCAAAATTTAAATCGTTATCTCAAATAGTTTTTGAGTTACAGGCTTCTAAAATGTAACCGCTAAATTCGATTCACCCCATTAGTTCATAATTTTTTAAACGTGTTTTTCTCAAAACTACAATTTTCAAATTTGCTTCAGTGATCAGTAGGAGACATATTATCCGACCGCTATTAAATTTGTGTTATTACTCTCTATATAGTTTTTAATTCAATCACTTACCAGTTTTTTCATAACATATGATCAAAAACCCCGCAATTTTTTCAATTCTTATTTTCTTCGACTGTGGTTCATTGTATGGACAATATGTTGTCTTCTAGCAGATATTGTTTATCTTGTGTTCCATTTACAGCGAAGGCCGGAATCAATGCAGCAGTGGAGACCCTTTTTTAGCGCCGTCAGAGTTTGCGTAAAATTTGAAAAATACTTTTTATTTTCTTCAAAGATTTTATTGTGTAATCGTATTCTAAAAGCATATACTGTATAGACTTAAGTACAAATTTAGGGTTAAAAGTTTAAAACAATTGGTACACTAGTTTTTTAGTTCACAAAAATCGCCTTGTTTTAGGCGTTAGCACTAAATTGATATATGTATTACTTTTTATTTTAAAGGGGAGTACTAATTTACCTATAAAGCTGGGTTTTATTAAAACAAACTTTCTAAGGTATTCGAAATATCTAAGTATTTATTAAAATTAAAATTTTTGACATTTATATAGCATAATAAATTTGGAGGATTAAATTTGTTTTAATAAAAAAAAAAATATATTTAATAAAAATGGAAATTTATGGTAATAAACAAAAAATATTTTTAAATAATTACTTTTTTTATTTATAAAACTAAATTAAGCTTAATTTTGCTGAACTTCTTTTTATGAGTATCATATGTGTAAAACTAAAGTCAATAGAGTTATATAAAAAAATATAATTATATGAATATAGACTTATTACAAATTTTATAAACACCAACAAATTTTAAATGAATTTGTCAAGAAAAAACATTTGGAGCTACTGTATTTTTTTTATTAAGTTTCCACATGACTTTTCGAATATACCCAAAGTATTGTGCAACGAAAATACTTATAGAAGTTTTAGACTAGCCACTATTTGATTTACAAAGCTTTGCTTGTGTACATGTATGAGTGTGTGCATATGTATTGGTGTTTATTTGCTTTGCTAATTACTTTCGCTTTTGTTTACTTTGCTTAACCGTTAGTTTGCGTGCGCATTTACTATTTACAAATATTTATTTAATATCAATTATTTCACAATAATTAACACCTAGAATTTTTTTTTTGTTTATATTGTTTTTTTTTTTTATTTAACTTTCTTTGCTTATTTTGCTAAATTTGTTGTTTCCTTTTTTCTTGTTTTTCGCACTTATGCATAATTAACATTGTAATTGTACAGAACAAAATTAACAGTATTCAATTACAAACATGCAAATCTCACATTCTTTAATATGCCATTAAAAAAAGACAACAACAAAAAGCTATTTACTTTTCGCTCATTTATTTGCCAACAGCAGTTCAATTCTTAAGCTCTTCCTAATTAACTTAATTATCATGTAGACACTATGTATGGGTGTGTATATATGCGTGTGTGAGTTTGTATGTGTGCTCGCGTTTTTAATTACTTAAATAAACTGACTACACTCTCTGCTACGTGCGCGTTTTGTGCTTTCACGGCTTCGCTTTCACCTTTGCAATTAAAAGCTTTTGCTGCATCGCCTATAATTATGTTTCGTTCCTCTGCTTTTGGTCTCCGATATAGCTTTGCTCAACTTTATCACACGCCATCCATCAGCCAGCTAGCCAACGCTTTCCTCTCTCCAGTTTAACCGCCGTCATCTTCACTGCATTAATGCCTTCGATTTGCTGCGATTGAACTATCTGCTGGCGTTGGCCGCTTGCTTCAGCCTTAATGTGCTGTAAACACCGACGAGGCCAGCTGCCATGCCAAGAAGTAAGGCTTGCGAGCGCCACACAGCAGCTGCCAATACTGTCAATTTCAATGGACGCGCTATGCTTTGCGTCGTGAACGTGGTCGTCGTCGAGGCGGCGGAGCTGGCCGCCGAGAAGTATTCGAAGAAATTACGCAGACTAGAGCCGGATGACAATGTCACTGTGTAAATAAGAAGAAGAAAAGAAACAAGTTTCAGATAAAGCAGGAAAATATTGAGAAGAGCATAAAAGACAATGATAAAATTAAAGAATGTCCAAGAGATTACAAGTTAATACAATGGGTAGATAAACAAAGGCGGCGACGGCAGAAAATGTTGCAGCGCAATTGAGTTGTTGGTTGTGTGGGAAAATCGCTCGCTTTCAAAACTGTACACAATGTAACAACCTTTGTTAATTTTTAACAACGTTGAAGAAGTAAAAGTGAAAGAAGATACAGCTTTATGACAACAGCTTGGTACAAAAATGGCTTTCTTTACTTTATTTTTATGTACTTAAATTTTGCGCTTAACAAACTTAACTTAACTTAACAATCATAGCTCGAAAAATAGTGAGTATAAAATATGGTTTAATGTAAAAGCGGTCAGATTTTTAGTATTGAATAGAGTTAAAATAGTTTAAGTCGACTTAAACATAAGAAGCCTTTTTTAGTTTATAGTAAAACAGTTGCCTATTTTTAACTATTTTATTTAATTGTAATTTCATGGTCTCAGTTTAAAAGTTTAATGCAGCATCGTGTCCTAATAGAATTAATCAAACTCAAGTAATTTCCATTAAGTTGTCTTAAGCTAAATTAACTAAGTTGCCATAAAATTTAACTCCTCAGTAACACCTTGATTTTGCTGATTACGACAGAAAATGTGCCTTCCAATAAAATTCCTTAATTTACTCAATTGGAAATATCAAATTTGTTGTAAATTTTTTTTCTTAAGTTCTTCGTTCTAGTTACCATACGAAAATTTAAACTATGGTAGAAAAATTATTCTAATAAATAAATTCCTTTAATTTACTCAATTAGGCATATAAAACTTTATATAGCTTTATAATTTTTGTTGCAAAATTTATATTCTGCCAACAGGTGCAAGAAATGTTCGAATATTTTCACTAATATTATTAAGGGGACTCATATACTATTATCAACGTTATCGGACCTCCAACCTGTGTTCTTAAGGTAAAATTTCAGAAAACTCCAATTTTTTATTATTACATGTATATTCGTAACTAGGCATTTACTCAGATCACTTTATATTATGTTATGTATATAGTTTTCCATATACTTGTAGTAACCGAACAGTTTTTTGATTTGGTCAAATATCGAATTTTCGCGATCAAAAACGACCAAAATTATGAGCAAAGTTTAACCTTTTTTCAAACGTCGCGATTTTGTAAATTTTTTTAGCGCCTTCGGCTATCGGCTGTTACTCGAAATATATTTTATTTTTATGCCATAATTTTACTGTGTGTTTTTAAAATATTTAGAAATGCACCCTTAAAATTTTGAAATAATTGATGCAGTAATTAATCAACCAGCTAATAGACTTAATTAAAAATATGTTTGGAGAATAACAAGCTAACTAAAAATCAATTCGAGTGCTACTTTTCAGGTCATAGATAATTTGTAAACTGGAAACTCTAAATTTATTTATAATAAAACACAACATTACATAATATATAATTTATATATGAAATTAGGAAAGCCTTAGCATACCTTCAGGAGTAGTAATATAATTGCAGCGAAATAGTTTCACTTAGAGTAATTAGAATAAAACTCGTTTGTTTTGAGATTTAACAACAATTAATATTGAACAAAATAGTACCAAAATCTTATAAAACTAATTTTTAAAGCATAGAATCAGGCGCCAAGTAAAAAATATTCAACTGAAATACTTTCTTACAGTTTCAATATATTTTAGACTTTAATTGCCTAAATTTCTTTTTATTACTTTATATTTATTCCCATCGATGCAGTGAAAGTTTAAATTACATAGATTTACTAAATTTGCGCCCTCGCTGCTGCAATACACCTCCACACACGCACACATTCATGACGTGATATGCTTGTTTGTTAGCAATATTATTGTTTTCGCTTTTATAGTTTCAGTTTTGATTGGATCCCTCGAGTGTGCCGCATAGAGTTGTGCGTCAATGTACACATATACACATGAACATGCGTGCACGTGCAACAAGCGGCACCACAACTGCGCTGGTTGGAGCATTGCGTTTAGTTGTTTAGTTGCGCAGTTGCCGAAGGGACTTGCATTGAGCTTTGGAACATAAAAAGTTATGGTAGCCAACAATGATGCAACACAAACCGAACACGTAACGAAAAAATGCAACAAATAACTGCAACTAGTGTGTGAATGTGGGAAGATGAAGAAGAGCAAAGCGAAAAAAATGTGATGAAAGAAACATGCAATATAAATACAAGTAGAAATTAAAATGCGAACAAAAAACGGCGCTGAAATGTGCGGAGAGGGTGCACACACACATTGTAACTGAATATACCAGTGCGTATCGGCAGCCGTTCGAAGTAAAAGTTGTTAGGGCATTCGCCGCAAACAAATTGCAAAACGCTTACGGTTTACATTGGAATTTTGTATATGTGTTAGTTTTTTTTGCATGTGTTAGTGTATGCATGTACATATGTATGTGTGTGTATGGCCGTTTGTTGGGAATTAGATTTCATCGTCGGCGTCCCCAAGTGATTTACGTATGTATTTATTTGTATGCAACATGGAGAGGACTGTTGCACACACGCCAATACCCATACACATACATGCCTTAAAACTCTCGCACGCACACACACTTATACTCAAGCCTAGAAGCATAGGACGAGAGTTCAACAGAAAACTTTTGCCGGGTCCCATCTGCTTATTCATTTGCTCGTTTGTTAGCTTGTTTCTATTTTGTAACACCGGCGGCGACCTGTGGCTTTGGGGCTCAACTTCCCAATTTTCCACGCTCTGCACCTTTCCTTCGCTCCCACTCGGCACTTAATTCAACTTTTTTGTTTAATTCCGCTTTTGTTGCTCGGAGCGCAGGTATGAGCAGCTCTGCGCCGTCGCTCCCTCGCCAATTTATTGGTTGAGTTGTAGTTTAAGCGCATTTTTGGGGGCGTTTTGTGTGTCGCTACGGGAAATTTGTAAGTTATGCCAAGTTGCATGCCACATGCCACACTTAGCAACATGCGACTCTAATCAAATTAAAATGAGTGCATTTTCTTTGTTGTTGCTTTCGGGTTGTGCGTGATCCGTTCAAATGCTTGCAGCTCGGTGTTTGCGACAAGCATTTGTTGCATGTTGCATGCTTGATTAGTAGGTAGTCAGTAAAACCGATTGAAAGGTGGTTTGAATTGGCACTTTCGCAATGGCTTTGAAGCTTTTGAGCGTGAATGTGGTAAAATTTGGTTGCAATTTCGTGGTACGTTGGTTGTTTTATTTAGATAAAATTGGAAATAACCTTTAGTATACGAAAGCTCTGTACAACTTCGTTAAATAGTATATATTTTTTGAAATTTCTTTTAATATTGTCAACATTGACTTAAAAAAAAACAATAATTTTTTTTGATAACTTTTACATTATAGAAAAAATTTCGGGATACCGAAATATTTCGGGACTTATCGGTACGCAAATTTTCATATATTTACAATATTTTAATAACAAAACGCATTTAGGAATAGGTAACAACAGGAGAAATTACAGTTTTTATTTTGTTATGGGATCCCGAAATTTAGAGACTAAAATTATCAAGTTACATTCATCCCGTCTTTATACCTTGATACACGACTTCGACTTTTATTAAAAAGATTAGTAGTAGAAAGAAAATACACTATTTATTTTATAAGGGCTGGAAGGTTTAATCCCCAAATTTCGGGACTGATATTATTATGTTTTTCATTTCTAAGGTTTTTATTTCACGCGGTAAGCATAAAAAAAGAGTTTAGTGGCAATTTCGTAAAGGAGTCCCCAAAATCGAATGCCAAAAATTTCGGGGAATTATCAAGTTTTGCTTTATCATGAATACATATATGTATAATGGTAAATATTAAGAATATGTAACGAAAATCTAAAAGCGAGTATCAGTCTGAAAAAAAAATCTTTGTTAGTTTATTAACGGGATCCCGAAATTTGAAACCCGAAAATTCAGGAGTATCGCAATCAAATTTTGTTATGTAATGGTACACATTTTTTGATTTTAACTTTAAAAAGTAACTAATGAACATACAAAATTCTGTGGTAGTAAAAACAATCCAGTAACACGTTTAAAATGGAATCCCGAAATTTGTATTGTTTATTCCATGAAGTTTTACTTTACTATAAAAATACATTTATTGAAAATTTTTTGTTTTACCAAGTAAGTAACAAATTTCAGTAAAAATATCTATTTTAGAGTATTTATTCTGTTCTTACAGGATCCCGTAGGTTATGTCCACTTTACTTTATTGAACACAACGAAAAGTTAAACATATAATTTCGTAAATATAATGTTTTTTTTTGTAGTAGAACAAGTTTTAATATATTTTTTAAGAGGCCTTTTATGATAGTCATTATTGTGTTGTATTGCATAAACTCCAACCAGATCATAATTGAAACATGTATGAATGCAATTCCGAATGCCGAAGGCAATACTAATCTAGTACATCAATCACTGTTGGCTCGAAAATTAAAAATTGAGAAACAATATGCATCTTAAACACAATTTCTTCGAAATTCATTGAGTGACTTTTAACATGACAGTTTACATAGAATTTCAATTTTAACAAAGATGCCACAAACACTTGATGCAAACAAATCCAATTTACATGTCTCCGAATAATTTAAATAAAATATAGACATAACAGTACATACAGCCACAATTGTAATTCTTGTATTGTATTTTAGGCAAGTTTCATTTGTATAACAAGACAGCTTTGTTGTATTGCATCGAGTTTATCAACTAAAATACACAACAACAAAGAACACCCAGAGGCTGAAAAACAAGAAACCAGTGAATGAGTGCTGAAATAATAATTTTTAAATAATTTCATTATATCACGAGCAAAATTAAATGGCCGCCGGGGAATAACTTCACGAAATGTCAGTAGAAATTAAATAAGAAAACATGCGGCAAAATAAAGACAATGACTGCGAAGAGACCGGAGAGCGTAAAAGCAAACAGTAAATAAATTAAAATGGGGTCATTCGGCGCTGAGCGCTGGCCACGCGACTCTTGAAACACCCACATTCAGACGGTCAGACAAAAATGTGTATAACGTCAAATGAGCAGTTGGGGAATTCAATAAACGTGGCACGACTTACAACGCGTGTCATTTTCGGCAAATTGAAATTTGATATAGACGCAAAGAGGTTCAAGTGGAAATAAAATTTAAATACGAGTTCAAATAATAATTACTGTTTATTGAAAGATAGAATATTAAAAGCGGTGACCTATCATTGGTACATGAAGATTACTCATAAAGAAAGTACTTTTTAAACACGCACCAAACGATTTGTGAAACCATTGTCATTTAGCTCTTAAGATGATAACTAAAGTTGTATTTGTAGTTACCCTAAAAGCTTCCATGTGCAATTATACTACGGTCAAATAGCTACCCTTATTGGCAATTAAAACAATTTTAACTATTTCACACTTAATTTTAACTAAATTAAAAGGCAGCTGGTAGATAATTGAGAAGAAGTTTGTAACATATACACTTCCGCAATAACCCTAAACAGTTTCTTCAGTTGCATGAAGAAGAAAAAAATCGATAAGGCCATCTGTAACGTAAAGAGATGACAGGAAATTAAAAAATACAATAAAAATTAAATTGCGTAGATGTGACTCAATTTGATTAATAGCAACTTCTTTTAAATAAAGTATTCGTTTCTGGCCTTTATTGTCGATCATACACAAAATCTACTTAGTATGTACTCTAATTAAGATTAACTCTGGTTTTGATAAACATTCCAATGAGAGCATCATTTTGTAGTATATATTTAATAACACTAAGTCCTAAACTCGAGTTTGAGTTGTTATGTGTGTTAAAGTAACCTCCTCATTTCACGTTGAGCTTTTGGATGAAACAAAATCTTGATACAAGCGCTGGCTGACCCTCTCCCGAAAACTTTGAAAAACTAAAAGAAGTCCTAGCTCACTCATAATATTTCCCATTTACTTTCCTCTACTAGGTGGTTGTTCGTAAATCAAATCAGCTGGGATATGAAAAATAACAAGTAAAATTATTTTTTGTTGCAGCAACAATTGAGAGCCGTAATTTAAATGCCCAAAAGTATGCTTAAGCTAAATTAATTCGTTTCACCAAAATGCGATAATGTGAAAAAGCTAAAATGAGTACGAAAGTGTAACTCTAAACGAAGACTTAAACCGTAAAAGCAACAACAACATAACCAGGCGCCAATATGCAAAGGGCACGACTATAAATTAGTTGAAACCGCCAATAAATACAATGAGCTATAAATAAAACGAGGTTTAGCAAGCGATATTTACTACAAATGGTACAAAGACAACTCTTCTCTCTGTAATAAATGAGAGCTGGTTTTGGAAGAGGTTGCTATATAAGTTATTGCAAATATTCAAATGAGAGGGTTGAAAAAATATTCATTTATATTATTTATAAATTTTTAATAAAATTTTATCAAAAGTTGGCTATTTTGTATTTTCATTGTAAAATTTTATGTTTTTTAAAGTTTTTAAAAATTATTTAACTTCCACAAAAGTATAGAAACTTGCTTTGTCGCACTAGTATTTCAAGTATTCAAACTAAAACTAAAACATACGCTGCACCAATTGGGAAAAGGGATCAAAGAAAAGTGAAATGTCACAAAAACTACACACCGCAGCTCCGACGACAAAGCAGCGCGTCATATTTTTTTCGTGATTTTCTAACAAACGATTTGCTTTGCTGCAGCGCAGCGGGACAGCAAATCTATTTTCCACACGCTTATCATAGGTTAAAGGCAAAACGCTTTTGATGTTGTGGTGAAACAAAATAATTGCTGATGGGTTTTACTATTTTTTATTAGAATTTTTGTGACAGGTGTGCATGTAGGGTGTCTATTATTTTCAAAGTTAATTTTTATTTGGCAAAAGTCTTCTGAAGCTTGAGTTTATGCCCTTTATAAGTGATTTAAGGTAAACAAGCTTTTTATTAAACAAGTAAGCCTACCATTTGTATTCTAGTACAAAAATACTCTCTCTACAAAAGAGATCTTGATGATTTTTTTTAATAATACTACTGATTTAAAATTTATACAAAGTTAAAGTTATACATCAAATACACTAAGGTTCAGGGATTCAGTAACTGACTATTCATTTGTGAGGCACTTGCATGAATGCTCAGTACATTTGATGCATAAGTTTAATTGCGTATAAGTTTTAAAGGAATTATTTTATGAAAAAATATCTTTTTTGTAGAGCGGAAAATTTTGTATTAGAATATCACTTTCTTAAAGTTGTGCAGTCGCAAAAAAGAAAAAACAAATCAACTTGGGAAAAGCGGACACTCTAATGTATTTAGATACGTATATTTATAAAAACATGCACTCGAAAGTGCTGTTGGAAATATGCTCATATAATCACACATATACCATATTAATATAAATACTTATATACATTTGTGCATATTTAAAATACATAGTGCTAAGCTATTTTCATTCATAACAGCTGATTTTGATGAAATTTTTTTACAATAAACACAAACGTTTAACTTATTCCTTACAATCTCTTACAAAAATGTTTTCTTTTCATTACATAGACAACATTCAAAAAAAAAAGTTTTCACTCATGCGACATTGACCATCGTGGATGCTACTTAGTTTACCTCTCTAACGCATTGGGTTTGAAAAAATTATCTTTCCACCTTTGCTATAAGTTTACCGGAAAATATTTTGAATATTCTTTTTTCCATTTATTTTTTTATGAGCTTTTGTTAAACATTTCAAAAAATTGATAAGATTATTGATTTTTGATGTGTCCACCTATTAAGATAAGGTCTACATAAAACACTGTAAGTTCGCGGTGAGCCATTGGTGTGGTGCCATTTTCAAGTGTTTGGTCAGTTTTTTTTTCATTAATAACTTTGATGTTATTCTTCAAGTCTAGATTGGTCTCAACGTTTAGAGTCAAGTACTTGACTCATATATGTTACACCTTGACTCGTTGTACGAATAGCGTTTTTTACTCAGACAAAAGGAATTAGATGCAACTGGATCTCCAAATACTCAGTATATGTTAGCCAAATCACTTCAATATCGAAATCCTAAACTGAGAAAAAGTTATTGGTTGCCTAGATTGTATTATAGGTTATTTGACTGGCTTTGGTTTATTAGTACAGAGACCAACCAGTAATCGGAACTTATATGTTACAACTTTTTTGTAACAGTTACGGCCAGTGTATCGATCACCTCTCCAGACGCTATTAGATTCAACAAGAAACCGATTAGCATATTGGGCTTTCAGAAGTATAATCCAGTTATTTACCAGATACATTAAATAAAGTTTTTAGTATTTACTATTAAAAGTCTGTTTCTCTTTCAATATAAGTTAAGCTGTATCTCTTCTCTTTGGTGCTAGTGAATTATAGTCTAGGTTTAGTAATTAATTACTTGCACTTTCTGTATCATTTATTCACGAAATAACCAACAAAAATTCTTGTCAAGCCGAGTTCTACATCAGTTCATAAAAATCGTCGTACATGTGTGGTTATAAATTACACCGAATAGCGCTCTCCCAAAACTTAAAGATTTACTCTAAGGAAGCTTTAAGCTCACAGTCTCGGTCGGAGACAGTGACTAGAAGGCTAGTTCCGCGCCTGCATGGCTGGGCTTAATTATATAATATTACTAAGAATTATGTTAATCCCGTGTAAAACAATATTGCTTCACATATATACGCATCATAAATCAAGCTCGATAAAATAAAATTTGACTTCAATTAAAATACTCAACGGCAATATGAAGCAGAAATAACTGTAAATACTTATCGCTTCACAAAAGTTGTGTTCGAAGAAACACAGCTGGTCATTTCGCCGCCAGCAAACCGCCAAAAGTAAATTTAATAAAGTTAAATTGCATAATCAGCGAATCTTCAGGAAAAACTTGCCACATAACTCACTATACACCCATACATATAAAGTAAATTTGCAATAATACAACTAGAAATGCTGTTGTATGCATTTAGGTAGACACACTTACCTCTGGCTGGCACTGGATCCTTTTGCGGTGTGCCCAATTCGATTTCCTTGTACTCCTGATACAAATCACCAATTTGTGCTGTGCAACGCAAAACCAAACCGCCATTGCCAACAACACCAACACCACCAGCAGCACCTGTATTATAGGATACACCCATAGCAGCCTGACTGCCGCCCAGGTGATTCATCAAGTGCTGGGTATTAACGGCGGCAGCAAAATGTGCTGCATGCAATTGCAGTTTCAGGCTCAGTCTCGACGCTATTAAATTGTCAACCGTTCTGATGTATTGCGTTTCGCCCGTTGATACCTGCAAATGGATAAGAATAATAAAATAGAATGTGCTACTACAAGAACAGTAAAAACCAGTTAAAAGTAGACAAACAGAAATGTTAAACAGTTAAAGGAAATCGCAATGGTAAGTAGTAGTTAGGAGCTAGAGTGTAGTTTTATTAGGTTATAGTTGTTGCTGTTGCTGTGCTAGTGTCTGCAAATAGGCGAAAATGCCTGAGCAAATTGCCATGTAAGTGTGTGTAAGTGCATGAGCAATCTGGCATGTAATACCGTTAATCGCTGTTCGTAAGTGTTTGTTATTCACGTATGTATATGTGTTTGCGCCCCTATATGTGTACTTCAATTCTTGCTTGAACAAAGTACCGATTAAGTGTGCACAATATACTCAACTCAGCTTAGACGGGCCTGTAGCTGGGCATTACCTCGGCTGTAGTACATCAAGTGTGGCACTTTTTATTGTATTTGTTTTTTGTTGATTTTTGCTTCGTGCGACCATTTGCAGTTTGCTTTGTAAATTATAGTTGTGTCGTGATTAATGCCATTCGGTCTGAATGTGTTGACACTAATTAATTTGAAAATATTGCACCTAAAGTGAGCAAGTAATGGACGCTGCGACCTTAGTGCGACGACCGTAAATGATATTTAATGAAGTAGTGTCAATTTGGGTGAAAAGAGTACTTCAGAAAAGCAATTTTTTTCTATAATTCCGTGCATTGCATGGCTATCTCTCTTTTTTGGAAATACATTTTTTATTATTATTATCCGTTTTATAAGGTGTATGGTTCCTAAAAAATACTTCGTTTTTACTTTATAATATATATATTTTTTTTCAATACAATTTGATTGTCATCATAAACGAGCATCTGATCACTTTCGATCAGTTGGGTTTCTCTACAGCGCGTACAAATATATGGCAAAGCAAGACCTAATCTTGTAGACACACATTAATATTAACTGGTTTGTTAAAAGTTAAGTGTAATTTTGAAAAAGGCTAGGCAATTCTAGTTAAAGAGATACTCCGCATAGATTATATGATATTATATTATACTACAATTTTTTTTGATTTCTTTTGTAGAAACATTATTTTTTATGTTTTGGTTGCTTTTGTTTCAGTTAATTAGTTCAGCTAAATTAGTTTCTTTAATTTTCTATTTTATAATAAACATATTTTTTTTTTATAATTTTTCAATAACTTTCTTCCACTTGTTGTTAAACGGCATATTGTAAAAAGAAATATATCATATTTACGCTATTGGCATTTTGCGTTCCTATCCCTTAATATGTATTTCGCGTTATATGCTACAACAAACTCCTCCAACCATGATAACCAACCAACCGTTTTTGGTTACTCATACACAACGACGCACCACTCATAAGTGGTGTATGCCAACAAAAACAAGTGTTGTTTTGTTTTTTAAAAGAGGAAAAAAAATTAAGGCGAAGAAATGAAAAAATAACAACCAAGAAAAATTGGTAACCGAAAAAAAAAAATGTGTGGCATGGAGTGAAGTGGATAGCAATTGCAATTTGTCCGAGGGTTATTACGGCGATGAGCGAACAACTGGCGCTGCGGATGGTCAGCGAGAGAGCACACGTGACAACATGTGTCACTACGCGTGTGTGTAAGTGTGGTGATGTAAAATTGGCGATTATGTGTGAATGTGGGCAACCAGGCGGCCAAACAACAAACCAACAAGCAATAAGTACATTTTCGCCGAACAACATTGTAGATGGTTGTCAGCTTTGTTGGCAGTGGTTTTTGTTGTTTTTGAAGTAATGGTTTTATATGTAAACATTTGAGTTTATATTTTTGAATTTTTTTTTTTAGTTTTTGCAATGTTTTAAGTGCATTGACGTTTTGCCATATCTGACCATACCAAAAAATCCAACAATAACAGTAAACACATAAACACTGTCACGTAGTAGTATCGCCCTTTATGCATTCATATCGCAACTGCTTCCGGTCAGCGAGGCGTCCAACGGATGCACATCTTCATGCACGTTGTATGTTGTGCAACCACAACGTCAAACTGCTCGGCATTGGTGCAGTCATCGGTTGCATGCTTCTTTATGTGTGTGTGTATGTGTGTGACACGCGGACAAGGAACCGGATTTGCTTGGCTTGCCGAGCGGTTGAGTTCAGCTGATTCTCGCTTTTGGTCTTGTGCTTTTCATATGGTGACAAACGCGGTCTCGGGTTTAACCTCAAGTCGACGCAGTGAGCGCATGCATGCCTGCACTTGCAATATAAATAACTGGTTATATTTTACTTATATATATATGCACTTCAGCTCAACGGTCAGCTGTATATTGTATATTGTTTTTTTTTTTAGAGTTTCACTTTATTTAATGCGTTCTTGCAATCAACTGCTGCGTCTGCTGTCAACACATATCGCAGTTTCTATTTCCGCACAAATGGTTGCAAGAGTTCCGCTAAATGTGATGGTAGCTTCGTAACAAGCATTCCGCATAAAGTGTGACTAGAGATTTGATTGGTGAAGTTTTGAAATTTATGATTTTAGGTTAACGGGGTTTTTCATGTCTAAAATAAATACCTAGTTTAAGTGTTTTCCGCTGAACTATTTACTGTATTTAAATATAATAGAAGCGGGATATATATCACGATGTCTGTGACCTCGTCTTCTGGTTCTTTTTTGCGTCTTTTTATTTCAATAATTTTAAGTTTTCTTGAAAGACCGAAGAGCCTAAAGAGTGAACTACACTGCTTAAAAAAAAGGTTTTGCCAGTATAAACTTGATTAAAATAGCTTACGTAGGTGCTTGAATTCTGATTATCCATTGATCTAGTCATATTTAAAAAAAATATTAAGTAAAATCGATAACTTCGACTACACTTAAGTTAGAACATAATTGACAGCATTTTTGATAACAGTACTAACTAGTATATGTAGAATTAAATCTGCCAATCTAACCGGCCAACGGCTTGCACCAACCGTAAACGTTGTTTGTTCGAGTCACGTCGATTAAAGTTTACTCAATAAGGAAAAGAGATCCTTTATGAAGAAATGTAGCTTAACTTTGATCAGTCAGTTTATATGACAGCTGTGAAAGAGGAAAAAACTCTTTCAAAATAAGAAAAGTCGTACTCTTTATATGCTCAGAAAAGTAAATATAGGTATTCTCAAATCCGTCTTTTCTGTCTTTTAACACTTCAGAGTAGACAATTCTTAGAAGAATTCTTAATTTAACATAAGAGTTTGATGACAGTGCCATATTTGTGTTTTTAAAATAAAAACAGATTGCAGATGTGTAATATAAAATGCTATTGTGAGCGAAAAAGCTTTTTCTGTACTCTACAGTTTTGTTCACCCGGCCTAAATGGTTACAGCTATCTAGCTACCTACTCTTAATGTTGTACGGAAGCTTACTTATTGATAAATTAAACGATGAGCTTAAGTGTAGACAATATTTAACTTTTTTTTGTTCTTTACCACTTTTTTTGCAGTACCTGACAATGGAGTGTGCAACGGTTAGCAAACTTCCTCCGAAGCTTTACAAAGTGTTCCATTTATTACGAGTACATAATAACCGATTTCGAGAAAAAAGAGTGTTCTCTCTTTATTTTTCTCTTTCTTTGTGTAGTGAACCAACTTTTGTTTTAATAATTAACTGGCAGTGAAAGAAAAAAATTTACAGAATTTTCCCTTGCGTTATTCAAAAAAGTTTATTCTATTCGAGGGTCATAATAGAACAAAAGGCTAATTTTCATCAATAAAGCATAGTAATTTTTCTTCGTTATTATCATAAGAAATAATCTAGCTTTTTAATTGAGACAATGTTACAAGTAAAACGAATTAAAAGCCAAAAGCTCAAAAAAATTAAAAAAAAAAAAATTCTAATAGAAAAATTATTATTAGTTTATAATGTAAGTTCTTAAAAAAATTTAAGCATGAGTATCATTAGATGATCAAAGGTTTATAATATTTTTCGGTCAAGTTTATAAACCAAATCATCATTGGTCAAGAATAGGTATTTTTGAAATAGAAAATTTTTATTTTATTTCGAAAATCTGATTTTGATTCCATATGACAAGCGAAAAATCGTACACCCCAACAAAATAAGAGGAAATGGTAGGCATAATCTACATATTTATTTTTATTATATATAATAATAATGTTTGTCAATAAGAAGAACATTGAAGCAAAATATTTCGATTTTGGATACTTACTTCGTATAACGGAAAAAACAATTTTATACTTTTGACTCAATAAAAAAAAAATGGTGTGGGTCAATACCAAGCTAAAAAATCGTATAGTGTTGTATTATTTTTCAACTCTTATATTTATCCAAAAAATATTATTGCGTTAAGAAGTATTAGTGCACGCGGTGAAAATCCAGTACCATTTTCTGAAGCTTTCTTCATATCAAACATCTATTTTTCCTACCAACACCATTTGTAATGCAACTCTGCAGCAGTTACTTTGTGGCCTTAATAACAAAAATCCAATATGACCAAAACTACAAAAATAAAAACAACGAGACCAAAAAGCCCTCTCAGTCAACTTGCAACTGAGTGCAACGAAAAAGTCTTCGAATATGCGGAAGTCTAAGCCTACCGAGAAAATAAGAGAAACTATATATACCGCAAATAGAGTTTTATTATTTCTTCAAATGCGCCAGCAGATTTTCAACTTCCGTCCCGAGCTTTGCACGCAAATATTCAGGTTTTTCCGCAACTTCTTCGCGCGTTTGAGTTTTTTCTTTTCCTTTTTTTTTAATTTTTTTTTGCAGCACTTTTGCGTATGAAGTATAGCGGCAAACACGCGGCCCACACATGTATGGCTGTGGGGGATTTGAGAATAAATAGAGAGGAAACCTTATTGTTTGCACCTGCAGCCATACACCGATGTATGTACTCTGTTGTGAGCAACAAAACTACCGAACTGACACAATGACAGGCGAAAACATGATTGCTCAAACGACACACCCCTTCTTCGGCAACGGAATATTGTGGTGGTGCGCGAGCAAATTTCCTGCTGTGCTGCGTTTATAACAG